GCATGCATGGTCCCCGCTCTCCCCGGCTGCTCTGCTCGTTTCTTTGAATTGCTGGCGAGTTCCCATGGTGCAGAATCCAAGAAGCACAGAGTGACAGTGCAGGAGGACCAGGGCTTCCTTCCCCTCCTGACCCCGTCCTCTAGTTCCTCTTCCCCAGCCGAGACCTTTGTTGTCACACGCAGTGGGCCCCAAAGACCCCCCCCCTTTACTGCAGTGCCTCCTGTGGGGAGATGGGCCACACCCTGCAGGTAGACGTCTGGTCTGTAGACTTCTCTCGTCCCCTGCTTTCCTAAGCAGCCTGCGGAGAAATCGCCGTACGCAGGGTTTTGCCCACGCGCGCCAGAGTTTCTAAGGGTAAATTCTTAGAAGTCAGAGAGGATGTGCGTTTTCAGATTCTGAAAGCACTTGCCAAATTCCGGCTCCTGCCAAGAGTGGGTGCGAGGGTGCGTCATCTGATCTTGGAGTTGCTCGGGCAGAGGAGGGAGCGGGCTCTGGGCTGGGTTCGCAGCCCTCTGGCCGCGCGTGCAGCCAAGCCTCTTGTTCCAGGAACCGTTTGTTTGTATCCTCTGCCGCTTTGGTCTGTCCTGAGGGTGGCAGGTACTTTCCCCGGTTGTGTCGTTCTTTTTTTAGAAAACTGTGTTTGTGGTGTATTTTCTTGCAGACACTTCATTTCTCCACACGTGAATTTATCAGCCTTTTCTCTCAGGGCCTGGGGCTCTTCTGGTCTTCTGCAGTGAGGCAAGCAGCAGTCTTAGAGGAGGTGGGCGGGCGTCCCTGAGGTCCGGGGACCGAGGACTCTCTCTGATGCCGCCTCCACTCTCTAGAATAGGCCACTTGCAGCCTGGCGGAGCCGCAGGCCCCCGGCTCTGGGAATGGGCTGGGGCGGGGGCTCAGACCAGTTTTGTCGCCAGCATCACGCGGTTTGGGTGTGACTGCAGCCAGTGCTGCGAGTTACCGCTGTCCTCCAGAGACTTTGGCTGGGGCCCTTGGCGTCTGTCTGCCTCCTCACGGAGACAGCCTGGGTGTGCGGGGCGGGTGCCCCTGAGGGCACTGGCTTGTCACTTTAGAAAAGAGAGCAGCGTCCATGGTGGGGTGCGTCATCTGCATCTACAAGGGCAGAGCTTGAGAAGGCGTTAGTCCCGGAGCCCCTGTACCCGTGCCCACGCCTCCGCGAGTCCCTCTGTGAGGGTTCGGGTCTCGGAGACACCATCCTGGGCTGGATGCTGGCACCTGACGGCCCCACACACTCACCCACCGCCCAATCTGGACCTCGCGTCCGCCTTGCCCCTCCGTAGACAGCTGGCCGCTCTGGTGCGCTGCCACCAGCATGGCTCCTCTTCCCCTGGTGACTTGTCTCTGGCTCACCGCCCCGCTAGGCAGGGAGCTCAGCACGGTGGGACTGTGTCCTCGCTGCCTGCTCCAGCCCAGCACCCGCCCCAGGCCTGAGGGTGCTCAGAAAACATGGGATTGTTGGGGTGAATGAAGACTCTCCGACAGACGCTTGAGCCGCACGGGCTGGGGCAGAGAGAGCAGGCCTCTAAGGGCCCACGTTGAGGACACCCTCTTGGCAGCCACCACTCTCTAAAGATCAGCAAAGGTGGTCTTGGTGCTCTTCCTTCCTCCGCCTGCCCCTAGTGTGTGCGTGTCCTGCAGTTGTTGTAACAAATTACTACAAACTCAGTGGCTTAAAACAACAGAAATTTATTCACACAGTCCTGGAAGTCAGGAGACTGGCTCGGGCCTCACGGGGCTAAAATCCAGGCGTGGGCAGGGCTGGTCCTTCCGGAGTCTCCAGGGGAGCATCTGTTCCCACCTTTTCCAGCTTCTAGAGGCGCCGCCTCCCTGGCTCGCGGCCCCTCCTGCATCCTCACAGCCAGCAGTGCAGCATCTCCTGTCTCTCTCTGCCTCTGACCCTCCGCCTCCACTGGGCCCCCTGGGACATCCCCATCCCAGGGGCCTTAACCCCATCTGCAAAGCCCGTTCTGCCATATAAAGGAACATACCCAGAGGCTGGGGACTAGGAGCCTCTCTGACCCTCAACAGACATATCTGTCAGCAGTGAGACGTCTGCCAGCTGCACAGGCTTCTGCAGACTGTCCCATTGGGACGTCGCGGGCAGATGGAGGGGGGGGCGCGCCACACTGGGTGTACTCGCTGGACTCGGATTCAGCGCACCCCCTGCGCAAGGACACATGGCGTCTTAGGAGCAGCTTCTTTGCGCATCCCAGGAAACCAGTCTCCCACCCCGTGTGCTCCAAGATGACCGCGGTGCTTTGGGCTCTGCTTAGGTTCTGGCGTGCGGGCGGCATCCGAGCTGTTGTCTGGGCCCTGCCGTCTGACCACGCAGGGAGCCGCCGAGGTCTTTGGCATGGTGGCTTTGGTCTGTGAACGGAGGGGCTGTGGTTTCCGTTGGAAGTGAGCTCGTGTGGACCGAGAGGCTTAGACGGCTGATGATGAGGCCCCTCGTTCCCCGGGGCCCCGCCGGCCCCAAGCTGTAGCCTAGCAGTGGGGGCCCTGGAGGTGGTGCCGCCAAGCGCACGGCCGAGTGCGCTTGCACCTGCTCTCCCGAGGGCTCACTGCCCAGCGGGCGGCACATGAGGCCCTGGTCAGGGCCGCCGCGGTTGACCACACACGTTGGGCCAGGAAGTTAGCCAGGCTCTCTGAGCCTTATTTCCGTGTCTGCAGAGCAGGGACAGCCAACTGGCCCAACGCTGGAGCTGCTAGAACAGGGCTGTGACGGCTCTTCCTGGTGTCCGGCCCCACTCGAAGCCCGTTCAAGGGCCACTCAGTCGCCGTGGACGCCGGCCCTGCTGGGGCTTGGTTCTGGCTTGCACTTGGCCTGGCACTGTGGTACGAGACGGCTGGGTCTGCCCTTGGGAAACCGTCCCCTGAATGGGTGTCTCCCCCCCCAGGCCAGATGCTCAGATGGGCGCCTTTGTGTGCCACCATGGCCCTGCTGCCCAGGAGCGGTCGGGTGTGGTGAGGGCTTGCGGGAGGCCCTGGGTGGGCGCATGGGGAGGGGGAAGGTCAAGGCCAGAGACAGAGACAGCCATCCGTCATTTCAGAGACTATGTTCTGGGGCCAGAATGGACAAAATGTGTCTAGGGACCCCTGCTGGGGCAAGAAGCCGTTGGCCAACAAGGGGGTACCTGCTCCCAAAGGTTTACCTGAAATGAGGGTGTGGAGGTGTTGCAACCCCACTTCTCACCGAAGCAGGAAGCCCGCTGTCTGTCGACGACAGGGCATGGGTGGCTCTGGGCCAGCACGGGCTCAGAAGGGCCCCAGGCTGAGTGGAGGGAGGGCCGTGGGCACGGGGGCAGGTGGGCATCCAGGCAGGAGCCCTGTCTCTTCCCCCACCTGACCCCTTGCCCAGCTTCAACAGCCTCATCTTTGCGAGGGGGTGCAGGCATCCAGTTCACGGGGCCGCATGGAGGGAACACGGAGTAAGATAGGCACGCTGAGGTGACCAGTGGCTGTGTTACTGTCCCTTGGGGTCTAACCCGACTGGCTCTGCTTCGGCCGAGCATATGGCTTTGGGCCGAAGCCACACCAAGGCAGCCCTGTGCATCACATAATCCCGGTGAGGGACAAGGACCTGACAGGCTCATGCCGGTGCTTCAGCCCAGGGTTAGGCCCAGGAACTCGGAGAGGCCATTTGGGGGCACAAAAGTAGCAGTTCAGCAGATCGGCCTGAGTGTCTCGTAGTCTCCTGGTCACACAGAGAGACGCGAGTGCTGGACTTTCCTCAGGTGTCTTTTTTTTTTTTAAGGGCACATGTTCTCTCTGGTTTACTTTCTGTCTGTATGGACTTGACAGCTCTGGGACCTCTCATGAGTGGAATCACACAGTATGTGGCCTTCTGTGTCTGGCTTATTTCACTGAGCATCATGTCCTTAAGGTTCATCCATGGTGTAGCAGGTGTCAGAATCTCCTTCCTTTTTAAGGCTGAGTAATATTCCAGGGTGGGGATGGAGCATGACTTGTTTATCCGTTCACTGTGGGTGACACTTGGGTTGTTTCTCTTCTTAGCTTTTGTAAATAGTACTGGTAAGAGCATTTGAACATTAGCTTCTGTGTGGGTCTGTTTCCTTTCTCTAGGGTGTATATCTCAAAGTGGAGTTGCTGGGTCACGTGGCTGTGTGTATTTGATTTCTTGAGGAGCTCACAGGGGCAAGGGGATGGGGAGGGAATGTTTCATGGGGACAGGGTTTCAGTTAGGGAAGATGAGAAAGTTCTAGAGGTGGATGGTGGGGATGGTTGCCCAACAACATGAATGGACTGAATGCCGCTGAGCTGTGCACCTAAAAATGGTGAAGATGGTGAATTTTATGTTACGTGTATTTTACCATAATTTTTTTTAAAGGCAAGTGTGGAGGGTACTACACCTAGGAATTTGTATTTGTAAACTTAATTTCTGGCCAGCCTTCACTTTTCCAGTTCTTGATACTTGGTCGGTTGTCAGAGCGGCGCCAGCCTGGAGGCTCGGGGGCCGGAACTAGCCAGCACTGCCCGCGTCCAGCCCTCGGGCTGCAGCCGGATGCTTAGGGTGACCGTCATGGTGCGAGGCTGAGGGGTGGGGGCAGAGCAGGCGCGGGGGGGGAAGCTGTGCTGGGGGGGGGGGCCCTCGGCGCCGCCCCCCGCCCCGAGCCTCAAGCATCCCTGACTCTGGCCTGCCATCCCCCCGGAAGGGCGCCCTGCCCTCGGAGGCGTCTGCTCTTCCCTCCCTGGAAGCTCCTCGGCGCCCCTCGCTGCCGCGCTCTTGTTTCTCTTCCTCAGAGGCCTTCCCAGGCGGTCGGGGGAGCTGGTGGGAGCTGGGCGGAGGCGTGTGTCCGCTGGAGGCCACCGTCCCCCGCCCCGGCAGGCCCTGCGCCCGGTCAGCTCCGTGGACCCCGACTGACGGGCTGCCCCGCCTCCCTCACGGGGCCGCGGAGCTAAGGGGCGAGGACGAGGCCCCAGGGGCGGCTCATAGTCTCGAGCGTCTGAAGCAGGAAGGCAACGAGATGGGTGCCTGTGGGGGATGGGGGGCCTGGGGTAAGCGGGCGACCGGCCAGAACCAGGACAAAGGCGTGCGGGCCCGGTGGAAGGTTCCTGCAGAACAACCAGAGAGGAGCCCGTTTGTCCCTGTCACGTCCCGCTGGGCTCCTGGGAGGGAAGGGCCCCCACCTGGCAGGGGACTTGGTTGTCCCCGAGGAGCGCCCTGTGCTCGCCAGGCGGCGCTGGGGACCGCTGCCCGCTGGCGCCGACCTCTCCTGCCCTTCCCGCCCAGGCTGACGGCCGCCATGGACCAGGACTATGAGCGGCGCCTCCTCCGGCAGATCGTCATCCAGAACGAGAACACGATGCCGAGCGTGAGTACCCAGGGCTGCACCGCTGGCGCTGTCCTGGCCCGCTGGAGCCGGGGAGAGTTGGGGCGCGGGGGGGCGGGCAGCTGCTGGGCTTTAGCCCTCAGAGAACAGAGGTGCCGACAGGTGACAAACACGTCCTCCCCCTCGGCGGCACGGCCACGCCAGGTGTGGGATCCCCCAGCGCCTCCCTGCGCTGCCCTCCACTGCCGGGGCCATAGACCCCTCATCCTCATGGGCGGCCAGGGCAGAAGAGCGATGGTGGCACGGGAGGGCCCTGTTTTGCTCTTTCCTGCATGCCCGCCCCCTCTGCCGTGTTGTGTTTCTCTGTCCTGGGCTCCTGATACGTTGCAGGCTGTGCTCGCCAGTTCTCAGCGCTCTCAGCTCGGTGCTGGGCCGTCCAGGGCAGGGCCCTTCCTGCCTCTTCCGGCTTCTGTTGTTGCCGGCAGTCCTAGGCTTACAGACCCATCCTCCAGTCTCTGCCTCATCTTCACGTCCCCCCTCACTCTGTGTACAGGTGTGTCTGTCTCTTCTGAGAACACCAGGCCTTAGATTTAGGGCCACCCTGCTCCAGTGTGACCTCGTCTCAACTTGATGACACGTGCAAAACCCCCATTTCCAATTAAGGTCACATCCCAAGTATCAGGGTTCGGGACTTCAGCATATCCTTTTGGGGGACACAGTTCAACCTACTGCAGATCCTTTGTAGAAAAAGGGACATTCCTGAGACATTCCCACTGCCTGGTTCTGGGGCTGAGTCGTGGTCTGATGGGGGAATAGCCTTGTGTGTGGGGAATGGGGCTGGCAGGACGACAGGCTCTCAGTGTCGGGGGATAGATGCTCTTTGTTCTGTGCTGTCAACGTTCCCGTCCTTTGGTGACCACTGAGAAACGGATCTCAGCACGTGGCGGTGTCCATGGTCGGGCTTTCGCTCCCTGGCCTCTTCCCACCCACGGAGCCGGAGGACGAACTGAGCCCCAGACATGGTGCTGCTAGCAGGTTCCAGCACGTGGGTCACTACCAAGTTCAAACCCTTGTTCAGCGGCCAGAGGCCAAGGGCGAGGAGGCACAGTGGGCGGGGCCTCAGTCGGGGAGGAGCGAGGCTGGCCTTGGGGCGCTCTGGGGTCTCTGAGGCACCCAGCCCGCCCTGCCGTCTTTCCAGGTTGCAGAGATGCGGCGAACCCTGACACCCGCCAACTCCCCTGTGTCCTCCCCCAGCAAGCACGGGGACCGCTTCATCCCCTCGAGAGCTGGCGCCAACTGGAGCGTGAATTTCCACAGGATCAACGTGAGGGGGGTTGGGCTAGGGACCCTGACCGCCCAGCCTTGGGGCACGGGCCGGGTCCTTCCCACTCAGCCCTACCTCCTTCCCCTCCCTGTCCTGCAGGAAAATGAGAAATCTCCCAGCCAAAACCGGAAAGCCAAGGACGCCACCTCGGACAACGGCAAAGGTCGGGACTCAGGTACTCCCGCCCCCCCGCCCCCCCCCCCCCCCCCCCCCCCCCCCCCAGCCGTAGCTACCGTGTCTCCACGGGTCTTTGGGTTCCACAGCTCCGGACACGATATCTTCGTCGGACGGGAATGTAACGCGCTTGGCCGCAGCCTTGAGGCGCCCGTCGGCCGGGGGCGATGCGGGGCTGGGAGACGGGGCCTCGGCGGGGGCCTCCTCGGCTTCGCCGTCCGCGCCCGGCTCGGGCGGCGCCTCCTGCGGCGGGACCTCCATCGCCGCCGCCACCCCCCCTCCGCCCCACCCCCCAGCCCAGCCTCACGGAGCTTGGTGCCCACAGACGGCCTGGCCTACTCGGCTCTGCTGAAGAACGAACTGCTCGGTGCCGGCATCGAGAAGGTGCAGGACCCGCAGACGGAGGACCGCAGGCTGCAGCCCTCCACGCCTGAGAGGAAGGGCCTCTTCACGGTGAGCCCCACTGGTGGCCTCCGGTCTCGGCCTCCGCGGGCATCTCCTCCTATCTCAGCCCTGCCGGGGGGCTGGAATACGAGAGGCACGGGGGCCCGCTTAACCCCGTGCCTGGCACTAGGCCTGTTGCCCTTCTGCGTGCCTGCGGGTTGGAGGGACCTGGGACCAGTGCCGCATGCAGGGCGGAGGAGCGGGGCCTCAGCCTGAGCTGCCCCGCAGCCCACCTCCCCGTTTGGGCCCTGGAGCAGCGCCAGAAGGCCTGGCTTGGGTCCATCAGGAGATGGGGCTGAGGGTCTGGTGACTGCACGGGGGCTGGAGAGACAGGCTGATGCCAGCAGCCCTGCAGGAGGACGCCTTGGGTGCGAGGCTTGGTTTGCCTGGGACGCGCATCTCTAGTCAGAGCCCCTTCCAGTTTCGGCTCACCCTGGACTCGGGCACAGGGCACCAGGGCTTCCGGGATGCAGCATCCACTCAGTGGGTGTCCCCTGCCCCCAGTATTCCCTCAGCACCAAGCGCTCCAGCCCCGACGATGGCAATGACGTGTCTCCCTACTCCCTGTCCCCCGTCAGCAACAAAAGGTGAGTCCGGGGTTGGGGCTGGGGGGCAGCTGGCAGGGTCCGGGAGCTGCCATCAGTTCTAGAGCTGTGTACGGGGTACGGGGTGGCCCAGAGGACCCCCCTCATTGGGGACTTGCTGCGGGCCCAGACCAGGTGCTGGGAGCCCGAGAGGGGTCCTGCAGGAGGCGCCGGGCAGAGGGGAAGGCGGGGCTGTCGGAGCTCGGCGGCTGAACATCCAGTGGTGGAGGGGTCGGTGGCCGTGGGGTCACCCACGGGTTTGGGATCACAGAGTGACAGAGTCGGGACAAGCGGGAAGTGACGCAGCCTCCCAGGGCCACCAGGAGGAGATGGCGTCTCTGCAGTTCTGTGCAATTGTTGCCAAATCTCTGCCCCGGTCTCTCCCTGTAGTCAGAAGTTACTGCGGTCACCACGGAAACCCACCCGCAAGATCTCCAAGATCCCCTTCAAGGTCCTGGACGCGCCTGAGCTGCAGGACGACTTCTACCTGAACCTGGTGGACTGGTCATCCCTCAATGTACTCAGCGTGGGGCTGGGGACCTGCGTTTACCTGTGGAGCGCCTGCACCAGCCAGGTGGGTGCCGCTGAGCCTGTGCGCATGCGCACGGGCTTGGGGGTGGCAGAGCAGCTTCCTACGGTAGCTGAGCCGGGCCGGGGCCTGTGTGAAGGGTGGGAGTGTTGCCGGGGGCCTACAGAGCCTGGGGCAACTCCCGGTCACCCCCTCCTCCCAGGCCTGTCTCCTCAGTGTGCAGACTCTCCTGGGGTCGGTCAGCAGGGGTGAGCTGAGGCCCACGCCCATCCCTGCCCTGGGCTGGCTTCCGAGAGTCAGGAGTCCTGGCTCTCCAGCCTGAGCTCCAACCTCCGCCTGTGCCAGCAGAAGAGGCACGGTGTCCGGGCCTGGCTGAGTGCAGTGTCCCCCACCCAGCAGTAAATGCCTTGGAGTGGCTGCTGGACACACGTGGACTCAGGGTCTGCAGGGCAGAAAGACCCTGCAGCTGGGGTGTTTGAGGGACAAAACTAGATGCAAGTGGGTTCAGAGAAGGCGAGCGAAGCCAGCACAGGGAGGCCAACACACACACACACACACACGCGCACGCGCCCCTATGCTTGGATGTGTCCCCTCCTGGCCTGTGTCTTCCCGAGCCCCCTAGCCGCCTTCTACTGGGTCCCAGCACTGATGCCAGTGCCCCAAGGCCTAAGGTGTGAATGAATGAATGAATGGGTGGACAGACAGATGGATGAATGGACAGTCTGGGCCTTGAAGGAGCAGTGGGCACCAACTGCTCCCCCTTCTGCTAGGTGACCCGGCTCTGTGACCTCTCCGTGGAAGGGGACTCGGTGACCTCCGTTGGCTGGTCTGAGAGGGTGAGTACACTAGCCCCATCACCCCACTGGGCAGGGTTGGCCCAAGGGACGTCGACCGGCCCTCAGTGGAGGGGCTCTCGGCAGTGTTGGGGGCCTTGGAGACCCAGAGGAGCCGGAATCTGGCCTTGTGGTCACTTGTCCAAGCCCCAGTGACACCTGTGCCCCCAGCTGTCCCCAGCCTGGTAGAGATGGTTGGAGTGACAGAGACTCTGGGTCAGGCTCGCTCCACATGTTGAAGCATGCAGATCTTGGGGCACATTGCATGGATTTTAACAGTTCCACTCTCTGTACGAGTCTGTCCAGAAAGTTCCTAGGAGGGGTGTCCGAAGGGGCGCGTGTTAGAGACCTTGAAAGAAGTGGGCCCAAGGCTCTGCCGCGGGGAGGTGAGGGGAGCTCCCTGGCCACCCAAGCAAGGGGTCCCCACACAGGGGCCTGATGCCCGCTCTTGCCCGTTTTGTCGTCCTAGGGGAACCTGGTGGCCGTCGGCACACACAAGGGCTTCGTGCAGATCTGGGATGCGGCCGCAGGGAAGAAACTGTCCATGCTGGAAGGCCACACAGCGCGTGTCGGTGAGGAGCCGCTTGGGGCCCGGGGGTGGGTGGGTCCCGAGGGGCCGGGCCATGTCCTCATCCCCCGCTCTGCCCGGCCGCAGGGGCGCTGGCCTGGAATGC